CTAGATCCCTATTCCCCGATTTCGTACCACATCACTGCCAAACTAAAATCTTCCTTCTTGCGAGTGTTCGACCATGGAGGAGGAGGCCGCGAAGGTGGAGGTAATTCGTGCTCCCAAGAGGCACAGATCTGTGGGAATCGCTGACCAGCAAGTACCACCAAGGGTCAACGACAAGGAGCGGGGAAGTCTTGATGACCTAGATCTCATTAGCCACCTCCCCGATTTCTTGCTTGGAACCATCATCTCCCTCCTTCCCACCAAGGATGGCGCCCGCACGCAATCCATCTCTCGTCGGTGGCGTCCTCTCTGGCGCTCCTCCAATGCGCCTCTCAACCTTGGCGCAGATAATAATCTTTGTGACACCAATTCGCGTGTCGCGCTGGTCTCCAGGATCCTCTCCGACCATCCCGGCCCGGCCCGTCGAATCTCGCTGCACCTCATCTTCTTCCCCAACATCCTAGGCGAGGTCGACGGTTGGTTTCACTCCAGGGCGCTCATTGGTCTCCAGGACCTCGAGGTCACCAACTTGAAGAGGACGAACCACTACCCGCTGCCTCCGCACTCGCTGACACGCTTCGCGCCCACACTGTCTGTGCTTAGGCTTGGCGGCTGCCAATTCCCCGGCCTGCCTGCGCTGGCAAGTTTTTCGCACCTCAAGCAGCTCATCCTGTTCGATGTTGGCATCTCAGAGGACTCTTTGCAAAACATGATCTCCCGATGTGTTGTTCTGGAAAGTGTCTCACTACATAACATGGGCTTTGGTCGCCTTTGTATTAGCTCGCCCACTCTCAAGAGCATCGGCTTCTATGCTCCTCGCGCCAAAGATGCCATCACCTTCCATGAGCTGGTCATTGACGATGCACCTTGCCTTGAGAGGTTGCTACCGATTTATCCAGATGATGGTCCGGTGACCATACGAGTCATCCGGGCTCCTAAATTGGAGGTACTTGGTTTTTTGTCTGAAGGCATATCTACACTCCACCTTGGAACCACAGTCTTTCAGGTAGTAGCAAGGACAGACACACATTCAGCTTTCCTATATGCAGCCTATTATTCTTATATGACACACTTGGTTTTTTTCTATAGAAAATGATTGCTGTCACCATGACAACCAAAATGCGCTCAGTGAGGATTTTGGTTCTTGAATCTAGTCCTAATCTGGATTTAGTTATTGACTTCCTCGTGTGCTTCCCCTGCTTGGTGAAGCTCTATGTCATTGTGAGTGTTCATATTGTTGCTAGAAATGTCAAAACATTATGGTCTCAGACTTATGATGTATTCTCTCTGTTTTAGATGCTAATTTGTTATCATCTTCCTTATATCATTTCTTTTTTCTATCCCCAGTTGAATGCAGGAAAGAATGTGAATATTGTGCGGAAGTATGATCAACTTGATACAATTGAATGCCTTGAACTCCATCTAAAAGAAGTGGTTCTCAAGAATTACTGCGGTGGTTATAGGCCATTTTTTGACTTTGCCAAGTTATTTCTTTTGAATGCGAAAGTGCTGAATAAAATGGAAATCGGAGGCTCTTATTACCACAATGACGACTGTTATTTAAGGCTGCTACAAGTGGAGAATAGAGCCTCTCAAGATGCACGAATTGAAGTAAACAGAAATATATTCACTCGCCACGTACATACCCATGATTTGTCAATGGCTGATCCCTTTGACTGATTCGTATGTGGATTCTCCAAGTGTGTTAGACTGTGTTGCCCTTTGTCCAAAGTCAAAAAAAAGTGGCTGCCTTTGCTTGTCTGTCTAGTGTTGTCACACCCTTATAACGCTATGCAAAATGGTCTACTCACTTCAGCAATGGAATGCTTTGTCAGCAATTATGGAATGCTTTGTCAGGATTTTGGAGGTGGTGCCCAAGCCAAAGATTAAAGTCAAAACTTCTGAATGTACAAGGTGCTTGAATGTTACTGGTATTTGTGTGTTTTTATGTTTATTTGGTATACTTGCTAGTTCTCTCCTGCCCAATGTCATTGTAAGCTGAGACCATCTATGTATAAGCTACAGCTGATATATTTGCGTATTTGCTTTAATGGAAAAAACACTGAAATTATGCAGTATAAAGTTTATTTCCTTGCATGCAATTGATTACAACTTCTCAGCAGGCCATTAAGATTACTCGGATTGAGACAGACAAGCGTAGTAGCTGCAAGCCTGCAACCATGTTTCTGCTAGTTCAGTCAAGAATGTCTGCCTGATATAAATAGTTTCATTCCTTTGTGTTGATTTCTCTAAGTTGGTCTATCAGAATCTCTGAAATTTCCATAAGTACTTTGGTGAATATTTCTAGGATTGACTATCACTTTAGTGAAATTTCGAGAAAACGCAAATGGCTTTTGCGTTTCATTGCATTGGAAAGAAAGGGGAATTTACATCCTCCTAGGAGGTAGTTTTACACAGCCAAGAGGGCCTCAGTGGACATCCCAGGATGGTGGCAAAACGACCCTGAGCCCTTGGGCTCCGGCCTTTGCCCAACATCGGATCTCGTCTTTAATCCTATCTACAAGCTCATTCAGCGAAGGCCTCACATGGTCGAAAACACACGCGTTCCTATGCTTCCAAACCATCCACGGCACCAAGAGCGCCACAGATTTGAGCGCCTTGCGAAGCGCTGGCGGTGTGAATTCCTTAGCGCGCAGCCACCAATCCATGAGCGAGCCGTCGTGGTCGGGCGTCGGTGCCGGTAGGCGTAGCCAAGAAAGGACCTCGTAGCCAAGAAAGGACCTCGTGACAAAATATTCACCAAAGTATATTTTCTAGGTTTGTTTGCCTGATGCGTTCATTCACTGTCCAGCTCTAGTCTAATAACCAGCACTTGAGGGTCAGCGTGTACGATATATTAGTCGCGACGAAAGCTGATCATGGCAGAGGTTTGGCAATATATAGTTTCTTGAAAAGGACGAACCCAATTTCCCGAACAGTTTAAAGGGGTTGCATATGGATAAGAAAGTCGGCAGTGATCACCATTGACAACTGGAGATGAGCATGCAAACTCGAGGCTGAGGACGGTGACGAAGATGGAAATCAATAAAATCTCATCTTGGCTGGGACGGTATCTGAAGAAACGCTTGTAATCCCAGGCTCACGCTGAAGTCACAAATGACAGAATTTCATTATGGAGAGGAAGAGGAAGCGAGATGTGGCAAGTTGAGAGAAGTAGAATTTATAGGAAATAGTTTCAGTCGTGCTGTGAATTTATAGGAAATGGAGGAGTTCGTTTCAACCGTGCCTGCTTGGATCAACCGTGTCAACTCTCTGAAGCTGTCTCTCTCTCAAAAAAAAAAAACTCTGAAACTGTCATGGCGATACTCTGCTTGGAGTCTCTGCAGCAGGTGCACAGGGAGGAGACGTACGGGGAGCCCTAGTTTATCCTCCTGTCCTGTGGTTAGGCGTTGAAGTACTATGATGGATGCACGTCCAAATCAAGCAGATTTGATTACTTCTACCCCATCAAACGCAGCAATAGAAGAGATCGATATCACAAAAAGATAAGTACTTAGTTCAATTAGGTTTGTTCAAATCAATATAAATAACAACAGAGTTTTTGGTACGGCGAGAGATTTAAGTAAATTTCAGGGATCCCCGGAAGCAAATTAAAAACACACATGCTGCTTGTTCTAATCAAGCAACCCAATAGGTGAGGAGGCTGGCAAATAGACTTGGGGAAAAAAAGCTCACAAGAGGCAGACAACAAATGGCAGTAAACTGCAGACTTTGAGTAATATATATACTAGCAAAAAGGCCCGTGTGTTGCAACGGGAGTAAAAATGACACACGCTCTTAATTTACAAAAAATGTTCTATAATCTGAGAATTTGTAGCTATTTTTTAAATGCATGAAGAGTTAAAAATGTTGTTTAAAAGATACATGATTTTTTAATCATAAAAAAGATCTTTTTTGTCTGGAAAAGAACATTTCTTTATGGTCTCATGTTGACGCAGGTACGTGTGCCCCTATTTCATCAATATTTCTTGCCATACATGTCATATGTATTGGTCCCTGTCTCATCACTATTTATTTCTTATCAAACTTGTCTTTTATTTTACTTTTGGTCATGCATGCCTCCTTTTTTACTTTTTTCATGCATGTCCTTTTCTTTCTTATATATTATATAGGAGAATAGCGCAACATCTCATCTTTATCAGATTTCTCCTGCATTTTCTCTTTTATTTATTTTATAGCGAACATCCCATCTTTATTCGTTTCTTTTATTTCTTGTCATGCGTGCCTTTATTTATTGGTGTCTCTAACAAATTTATCTTCAATTTGATGTTCAATCCCGATTTTGCTGAGGTGTTTATCCTCAATCTGAATCAGTACCGGTATAAAAAAAGACGGATAATGCATTGTTGATTAACATTGCAGCCTAGGTAGTATTTTTAAAATTGTTAAAGGTAAAATAACATCATATTTAGATTCTACATATTTTTCTAATAAAATTTTATATATAATATGTTAAATTCGGAGTTACGGTTTAAAAGATATGAGTATTTTAAAAAACATTTGATATGTACTGCGGGTTTAATGTCAGAAACATCAGGGGGTTTTCTAAAAAATAGTATGACGGACTAAAAAATAGCTTCTCTGTAACAATTAATTTCCACCAGAAGACGTGCAAGGTTTGAACAATGCTCGATTCCCAACTCTGCAGCCAGAAGCGGCGTGTTTGCCTTTCCAAGAGGAGGACAGGCCTATGAAAATGATATATCACTAACTACTACAGTAACACATATGATGACTACATATATCACTAACTAAAGTGTTTCTTTTTTTAGGGGAACTTGCAACTTTATTATAACTTAAGCAAAGTTCGGGATCTCGTCCGCTACAATCTGAATAATACAATCCGGAGGAAAAACAAAAACACTAGAAGTCTCATTGCAAACCCCCTCTCTAGCTAAACCATGCGCTCCTGCATTTGCCGAGCGCCGAACCCATGCCACTCTGAACTCTTGACGAGTCCTCAACATCTCCTTTATCTCCTCCACGACTGGACCAAAAGTTGATAGATTCCTGCGTTCCTCATTGAGCATTGCCACCACCTCTTGATTATCCAGTTCGACTAACTGAAGTGTTTATGTTGGATGTGGCCTATGAAAAAGATTGACGGCGGCAGCGCGACCGTGCAACCATGTGTTACCAAACTCATTGGTGGAGAAATTAGTGGGCATGTAACGGTGGGTGCCTGATTTTACTGCACCAACATCTTGGCCTAACATTCCACGTTTGAATGGAACAAAGATACTCTATGATTGACCAATGCACAACAGCTAGCGGAGAGGGTGGTGATCCAAGCACATTCTAAAAAACTCTCCCATGATACATACATGCATGCGCCAACGGCCAACCCATTGCTCCCCACAAGCAAGTAAAGAAAAGTGTTGGTACCATACACACATCCATCCAAACACATTCATCCGGCCATCACCAGTCCAGCACCCTGGCCTGCAGGCAATCCCATGGCAACCCAACGCATGCTCTTCCTCATGTCTTTGAGCCTGCTGCTACATCTATGGGCGGTTGAGGCCGCCGCCGGCCACACCGAGGAAGCACAAGCACAGGCACTCCTTCGATGGAAGTCCACGCTCCTCAACTCCTCATCTTTGTCCTCGTGGTCGCATGCCGCACCGACCTGTTCCTGGTATGGTGTAACATGTGATGACCATGGCCGGGCTACCCAGCTCAGGCTTACAGAGTGCAACCACAATGGCACGCTTGACGCCTTATACTCTGTTGTGCTCTCGAGCCTCACCGTGCTCCAACTCTACGACAACAACCTCATCAACACCATACCAGTGAACATCTCCCTATTTCTCAACCTCGTCACTCTGAACTTGGGCGGCAACAACTTTGTTGGTCCCATACCCTACCAGTTCAGCAAACTCAAGCACTTGACGGACCTTGATCTGTCTATCAACAGGCTATCTGGGCCAATACCATGGTCGCTCTCGATGCTCTCAACACTAGAGTTGCTGAAACTTGGACAGAACAATCTTAGCGGTGGAATCCCAGAGGAGCTCGGGGCGCTGCATAGTTTGGAAGCGCTTGACCTGAACAGCAACTCACTTTGTGGACCGATCCCAACATCACTTGGGCAGTTTTCTATGCTGGTACGGCTGGACATAAGTGGAAATCATTTAAGTTCAACCATCCCTTTTGAGTTGGGCAACCTTACTAGCCTCGTATACATAGACCTGTCCTGGAACGAGCTCTCTGGAGGTTTGCCCAAAGCCTTTTCCAGGTTGCAGTACTTGAAAATGTTTGCGATGGAGAATAACAATCTTAATGGAAACATTCCACAAGAATTCTTCACAAACTGGACCGTCCTCGACAGTTTCAATATAGCAAACAACTCTTTCACCGGAAGCATCCCACCAGAGATTGTCAGGTGGGAGAATCTGTCTGGGCTGTACCTCTCTGGCAACATTTTCATCGACATGATCCCCACTGAACTAGTAAGCATGCAATACTTGGAATTTTGGGACCTGTCCAATAACCATCTTAATGGTGTGATACCATCAGAGTTTGGCAACTTTCATCATATTTAAAAATACTGGACCTTAGCTCCAACCAGTTGGAGGGCAAGATTTCTATTATTATCCCGAAGGTTTCTATCATCAGCTTGTCAGGAAACAGATTTACAGGCATCATTGACTGGAATTTCTGTCAGCTAAGTAATATGTTCTTCTTGGATCTATCAGACAATCTATTGTCTGGAGTTATCCCTAATTGCTTTCGGAGCTTGCCAAATCTTGCTTACCTGGATTTGTCAAGCAATGCTATTGAAGGAGAAGTTCCAATCTCAGTACACAATGTTGCTCCACTGGATTCATTACATCTATCTAACAACCAGTTCACAGGATGCTTTCCATCTGTTGTAAGGAACTTCACTAACCTAATCACTCTAGATCTTGGTGGTAACAACTTTTTCGGTGTAATTCCTACATGGATCGGGGCAAGAAATCCATTGCTAAGGGTTCTCCGACTACGATCAAATATGTTCCATGGAAGCATTCCTCATGAGGTTACACAGCTCACTCATCTTCAAATACTTGACTTAGCTGAAAATAATCTTATAGGCTGCATACCAGTTGGTTTTGCCAGCTTTACTCCCAAGCTATGGCCAGAACGGACCTCGACATGGATTGATATGAGCTCCACGTCCTACTATACTGATGGCCAGCTTGACATAATCTGGAAGGGACAAAATTATACTTTCCATAGAACAATTCGGCTTATGACTGGCATTGATGTATCAAGCAACTCTCTTTCCGGTGAGATCCCCGCAGAACTACTTAATCTTCAAGAAATTCGGTTCCTCAATTTGTCAAGAAATAATTTATCTGGTGGTATCCCAAACAACATTGGCAACATGACAAATATGGAGTCCCCGATTTCTCTTGGAATAAGATCTCAGGTCCCATTCCATCAAGCATAGCAGACTTGACGTACTTAAGCTCACTTAATCTCTCCAACAACCTTCTTTCAGGAGAGATACCTGATGGCAATCAGCTTCAAATGCTCAATGACCCGTCGATTTATAGCAACAACCAAGGACTCTGTGGCCCCGCTCTGAGCATTCCATGTACCAATGGTTCGAGTGGTACAACAACACCATACGGGGTAAAGGAACATCATAAAGAACTTGATGCCGTCTGGCTGTACTACTCGGTGGTCGCTGGAATTGTCTTTGGTTTCTGGCTATGGTTTGGAACATTGTTATTTTGGAAGCGTTGGAGGTTCGCTTTCTTCCATTTTATCGACGCCGTGCAGAAGAAAGTTACGAGGAAGATGAAGCATATATGATGGAACCCTATCTGGAGTTCAGAAAAGTTCTGAAGCAGTTGCAATTATCCGCAATGGACATGCATGTATTATTACTGACGCCCTCCTTTAATATCACCAGTGAAGTACAATTATCAAATCGTTTGTTCATAGGATCGACTTAGACTTGATCTTGTGATGAAGCCAGTTTCACACGTACTAGTATTGTGATGAGCAGAAGTTTATTCTCTGAATTTTATGTGTTACTAGTATTGTGGTGAGTAGAAGATTAAAATCCAAACGTGTGAATGTACAAGACGGCAAGACGCTTGATTGTTATTAGTATTTGTCTGTTTTTTTTTTGGTTTAGTTGGTACTTGTTGGTTCATTCCTGCTAATTGTGGTTGTAAAACAGCTTGATATATTTGCGTATTTGCTTTAATAAAAAAATATGGTCTTGTGTATTTTGTCTAAAAGTATGTAGTGTATATTTGTTTCTTTGTATTCAATTGATTACAACTTCTCAGCGAGATCATTAATAAGATCACTTGAATTGAGACTGAATAGAGTAATATCTGCAGCCTTGTTTCTGTTTGTTTAGTCAAGAATGTATGGTTCTTTCACGGAATTCATTTCTTTCACACATTTGAAATTTCATATATTGCATAGTTGCATTTATTGTTGCTTCATTTATTCTCATAAAAGGGGAGCAAGTAATGTTTAAATTACATTTTCCTGTGCACATCTAGGTGGCGCTAAAAAGGTGTACTCTGTTTTGAATTGTTTTTGGGCCTCATTTGTCTCAAATTGCTATACTTATCGATGCCATGGAGCAACTGGTTATTGTAGTTTGAAGATTGGTTTGGCTGGTTGTTATTTTCTATACTAGTCCATTTATCTGATTGCATGGCACATAAAGGTTGCACACATGGTTCTGGTTAGGCAACTCAGTGGATAAAAGAGTAGAATAAAGTATTGTACGGGGAAATAGTGTTCCAGGATTCCTGAGAAGATGTAAAACTAATGGTTTGGAGGAAAAAACAGGTCTATCTGAATCTCTGAATTTTCCATACTTTGAATATTTCTAGGATTCCATGGACCCATAGATGCTTGGGTTTAATTGTAGAAGAATAGAAATTCCTTCTGTTTAATTGCAGAAGTGTAGCATCTCATCCTGTTAGTTGCAGAACTGTAGCAACAACTCGTAATGTAGCAGAGACCTGTTTTTGATTTGTTTGCATGATTTTTTTTTTCATTCACTAGCTCTAGTTTATTAACCAACACTGTACTATATACATTAGTCACTAGGAAAACTGTCCAGCAGGGAGTGGTGTTGCTGCGTCTAGCGCCTATGTATCTAGCCTTGGGTGTATGCGTGAGTTGTGGTGACGTGTGTTTGTATCAGATTGTGGTTGGTTGGTGCTTTATATATAAAGCAGGGCGAAAGCCTTTTTCGGTAAAACTGTCCAGCAGGCGACTGACCTGACCATGGCAAGGCTGACGATATATGATTTCTTGAACAAACTTAATGTCCTGACCAATATAAAGGGTTTGCATATGGATAAGAAAGTCCGCGGTGCTCATCTTTGGCAGCAACTGGAGATGAGCATTGCAGTGTCCATGCGGACGATGGGAAAGAAATTTACCATCTGTCTGTACTCGCTGCTGCCGTTTTAAGAGTAATGCTGTAATGGAGTAGAAGAGGAAGCAAGAAGTGGCAAGTTCAGAGGAGCGGAATTTATAGGAATGTGCCTGCCGGAGTACTCTGTTTCACCGGTGGTGCTCGGGTGATTTGATTGTGATTGAACGACTTGCCACGAACGACCTGCCGAACCAACACTTGAGGGTCAGCACGTACGACGTATTAGTTGTCACGAAAGCTGATCATGGCAAAGGTTGGCGATATGTAGTTTCTTGACGGGGACGAACTCAATTTCCTGAACACTATAAAGGGGTTGCATATGGATAAGAAAGTCTGCAGTCATGGCCATTGGCAACTGGAGATGAGCATGCAAACTCCAGGCAGAGGATGGTGATGAAGATGCATTCCTGGAAATCAGTAAAAGCTCATCTTGGCTGGGACAGTATCTGAAGTCCAAGACTCACGCTCAAGTCACAAGTGACAGAATTTTATTATGTGTCTGTACTCCCTGCCGTCAGTGTTAAAGAGTCTTGCTGTAATGGAGATGGAAAGAAAGAGGAAGAGGAAGAGAAAGCAGAATTTCAACTGTGCCTGATGTTGCTTGCCTCTGAACAGATGACATGTTCATCAAGTTTGGGTGTCTGACACCTAGTGTATGGCTGAAAAGCCTGAACATTACTATGGAATCTTGGCCACCCAGATTCAGTTGAAATTACAAGAACATGCATGCACTCACAAAATCGGCATTAGTGTCTGATTTTATTTTGAAAGAGCCAGCCAGCTTACAACCATACACTACTGACCACAATTAATCAAGAGAAATAGGTGATACAGTCTGCAGTAGTTCTGATAGAGAAAATATGTCAGTCAAGGGGATTAAGGTGGCTAGTTCTTGGTGGTCACTCTCTCATTCTTCTGGTCTCCCTTCATTGCTGAGATTCTCTTTGCGACGACATCTTCCCACTCCTTGTCATCCTTAAACATGTAATCTTCATTGGCTCTGCTGACACGGATTCTGCACTTGGGGAGCAAGTTCGTTGCTTTTTCAATGGAACACTCCAGATCCTTCACCCTCCCTGGAGCTGCTTTGAAACAAATGATTTCGACCTCGAGCTGTGCAAGGCTTGGAAGATGCTCGACACCCAAGTCTGCAAAAAAGTCGGACGAGATCCACATTGGGTTCAAGTCAAGACGGAGACAACGGAGTGCTTGCATAGCACCTGGTGCAAATGTTAGCTGCAGTACACCCGTTGGTCTCACTTCAACATCAGGACGGAAGAGTGAATAGCTGAAGTGGAAGACCTTTAGCAGTTTGAATCCATCACTACCGATGATCAGCTTTCCATTATCGGTCCCTCTTGTTGTCTCAAGCTCGAGATGGGCCAGAGAAGGCATGCCCATGAGGACTTGGAGACCCTCATTATCAAACTCGCAGACCACTATGCATAGTTTCACGAGATTCTTCTGGGAGGCCATTCCCCTGGGAACCGTTCCGATAACTGACTTCATTTTAAGAACTTGGAGGCACGGGTAGGTGCAGCATGGGTTACAGAACAGACGCGTGGCTATCTCTTCACCAGTACGAAGATAGCGAAGATTGCATTTGCCCAACTCGTTTACTTCCTCCGCAAATCTTGCTGGGTCGTCGGTTTTCTTGAAGCGTAACTCCTTCAAGGCTTGCAGACTCCGGAACCCACTTGCAGGTAATTGTGTTATATAGCTGACAAATAGGCGCACCAATTTCCGCAACTGCGCCACGTGGCATGGCAGTCTTGGAAGTGAACAGTATCTCAAATCCAGAGTCTCCAAGTGCTGGAGCTTTCCAATTTCACAAGGAAGCTCAGTAATCATAGAACGGCCAATTCGCAAATACCTCAGCTGACGTGAACTTCCTATGTGTTTTACATGCTTGTTTTCCAACCAATAACATCCTGCAAGATCCAATACCCGCAAAGCATGGAAGTCCACGAGATGGGGTACTATCGACTTATGCAGCTCAAACACGGTCAATGAGCGAATATGTATCATGGTCTCTATAATTGCCCCAACTGCCCCTTTATGCTCTTTGCCACTAGATTGCATGGACAGACGACGTATCTTATTTGGGAAAGAATTGCATATACGCCCATTTAAGACAGTGGCAAAATTCTCTTCATCCGATAAAGATATAATAAGGTCAAGCACCATATCATGGACCCTACAATATTTCACCGAACTGTCATAATTACCATAAACTGGCTGTATCATATTTCTGTTAACGAGCTCGTTAAAACAGTTCTCTGCTACTTGATCCAAACTTCCCCATTGTGTAGCAATGAATCCTTCTGCTATCCATTTCCATTTCAACACTTTAATATTGATTGTGGAGTCCTCTGGATATATGCACAAGTACAGTAAACAAGTCTTCAGGTGGTGGGGAAGATCCAGGTAACTATGTAACAATATATCTTTCATCGCTTTTAAGTTCCCATCATATTCAAGTGAAGAACCAACACCGATGGAATCTTGCAGTCTCTCCCATTCATCCTTGTTGTGTTTTTTATTGGCAAGCAAACTTGCAAATGTAATTATGGCCAGTGGTACACCACCACATTTTTCTAAGATCCTAGTAGAAACATCTTTCAGTTCAGCGGGACATGAATGATCTGTGCCAAAAATTCTTTTAAAGAACAATCTACGAGAATCAACATCATCTAGAGGTTCCATTTGATAGGGTTGACCACTGCAGTTGGAACAACACTGATTAGCTACACCATTAATGCGTGTCGTAGCAATTATTCTGCTGCCATTGTTATTCTCAGGAAATGCTGACTTGATCAATTTCCAATGTTCTTCTTTCCATACGTCATCAATAAAAATTAAGTACCTGCATTCAGTGTGTAAGTCGTTAAGCATTCATAGCTTGATGAATATTTTGCATTAGTAACAAATTTGATATTCGTGATGAATATTTTCTACTTAATTTTTGAGTACCTTCTTTTGCATGAATCAAACTAGTATTTTGGTTATAAATAGATAAGGCTAAACATGAAAAGTAGTACTACAAAAAGAGCCATTAATTCAATCTAGCCTGGTTATTTAAAAAAGCAGTTCTTCCATCTGGCCTAAGTATGGCAGAGAATTTAATCAACGCTAGGTACAGGGGTATAAATAGAGACTGTACAAAACAAAACAATGTAGAAATACCTCTTTCCGGTCAAGATTTGTGCAATTTTACGAATTAGTCGGTCTATGTTCCAACCGTCTGACTGATATTCCTTGTCATCGATTTGAGATAAGATGTCCTTCAAGAGCTTCTCTAGATCAAGAGTACGTGACACCGACACGAAACCTCTGCAATGGAAGTCCACCCCAATCTTGCGGTACACCTCCATGGCAAGGGTCGTCTTCCCCAACCCTCCGGACCCGACAATCGGCACCACTTTCAGCTCCATACTCTCATCCATCAACAAAGCAGTAACTTGCTTCACTCGGCCGTCCATTGCCACCAAGTCCTTGACCTCCTCGTAAAGCGTGGTTATCCGTGGGTCAATCTCCACCGTCTTTGTTGGACTGTAGTAACTCTCGTCAAGCTTGTACCTAGTAACATTTTTACAGTAAAACCTGAATTAATCTCATGTTGCATCATCCAGAAATACATACAAGTGCAAGAGTTAAGATCCTCGACAACAACAGCAAAAAAAAAAGTGCAAGAGTTAGGAAAAATGTAGTACCTGTCACGCCGCTCACTTTCCTCCATGACGCGAGCCTTGAGCTCCTTGATCTGGGTCGCGATGTCGTGGCGCGCCCACAGAGTCTTGAGCCGGCGCGCCGTCCTCTTCATGAACTTGGGCTTGGCATCTCCGCTTCCAAGGCGGTCCATGAAGCGGTCGATGCAGTCTTCTACGTCGTAGCTAAGATCGCGCACTCTGTCTCTCCAGCCCTTGGCCATGATGTCGAGTTTCTCCTCCATGTCCGCTAGCCTCTCCAGCAAGACTCGCATGCCGCTGAGCTCGCGCTCAAGGAACTGGATCTCCTTGCGGACCCGCTTGAGAAGATTGTACTCGTCGCTGAGCAAGGCGGTGAGCTTGGCGAGGAGGGAGTTCATCGCCCCCGTCCCAACGCCCACCCCCGCCATCGCTACCCGACCCTGTCTCTCCCCTTCGCCGCCTTGACTCTGGATCTGCTCTGCTCTGCTCTATGCTGAAGAAGCTAGGATAGGTTGGCTAAAGAGAAGAAGCAGCTGAATGATTGGTGTTTGGTGGTGGAGGAAGAGGAGCAATGACGCTGAACACCAATAATGGAGCACGCTTCTGCAGCGCTCCTTGTGTGGGCACAGACCAATAATGGGGCTGGGAACACTGGTCTGTGAAGGCGCGTGACGATGGGACTTGTCCTTGCTTATTAAGCTAGCTGCTGCACGATGCACTGTTGCTTGCTGTGTGGCTGCTGGGACGAAGCTGCCCGTTGTGTGACGCTGCCGACGCGGTATGTACCGATGAAGGTGGTGCGTGCCCACGCACATACCATTTGGTCTCCAAGCAGGCGCGTGATGAGTGGACCATTGATTTCGCCCACCGACGATTTCACACGATATTCATCATTACATAAGGTTTGAATCCTAGATTTTTTTACATGGTTTGATTCATGTGGGAAAAAAACATGGCCAGGAGCTTCCTTTTTTCTCTCTACTTCTTTTAAATATTTCTTTTTTTATTTTTAGTAGTAGGGGTAATTTTATTATTTGTTCGTTCTAACTTTTTTTGTTTTCTTTCATAACAATATTCATAGTTCCTTACATTATCCATTTATATGTTATTTACTAAATATCTTTATGTAATATTCTGTTTCACACGTCTATATAATTAGTTCAGATACCCAAAAAAATGTTCTACGAAAAATAAATGCATGGGAGTTTATCATGCTATTCGTGGACGACACAACATTTGTAACAAGCTACTTGGATATATTTCTTAAATATTAAGCATACTCCATGAATACTCAAACATATTCTTCAAAAAAAATACTCAAACATACTAATAAAATGTTGTGCAATTTTTTTATTTACTTCTATAAACGATTTTTAGAAACTACATGAAATTTTGCTTAACATACATGAAGATTTATTTGCTGCAAACAATGTTTTTCATAGATGGCTGAACTATACTTGAGATAATATTTTCTATATGAAAGATATATTTGTGTGACAAAACTTTTTTGAATGTAATATAGTAAATATTGGAGAACGATACCTTGTCATAAGCTCCAACACGCAGCCTCGACTTCTCCCAACCCTTCCTCATATTCTATGCCGCTCATCTTCTTCCTCATCTACCATTGCGCTGACTTCTCCACTAAAGACGTGAACCATGGCACTATCACTCATTTCATTGACTCCATTGTATCCTACTTGTTTCTCGGGCCTCATCCTTTCTCATCCCGATAGATCGACATCTCACGACGTCTCCCTCCTCTCCAGTCTTATCATCGTCTTAATATGACTACGTCCAATCCCCACTCCGAACTTGTGGCCGCAGTCTCATCGTGGAGGTCAAGTTGGAGCTCGAACCAAGGAGTTAATCGTCTCACCAAGCACGAGGATGATGGAGGGCCAGGAGGGTGAGTTAAATCTCAGTAGGCCCGCCGATTGTAGGGCCCGGGTGGGCTAAATTTGCAATTGTCAAGTTGCTTTCTATGCAACTCAAAGATTTGTTGCAACCGACAGGGATTTATTCCACACAGACACTTTTTTTCCTCGAATGTGTGTAAATGTTGCAATGTTTTTCTAATTTTGCAAGTTTTCTCTGCAACATTGAATTGGTTTTCATATTGTATATCTTCAGTATTGTAGGTGTTGATATTTTAAATATAAATTTTGGGAAAATTTACGAAGTTTGACTTGAGGCAAATATTATATGTGGAGTAAAAAGAAATGGAGGGAGTCCATCTATATATTGCAAAATTAAATTTAGTTCATGACTAAACCAAAGAATTTCACAAAAAATGAGATTAAAACTTGTTTCCCAAACAAAACTCGGTTTTCATCCTAGTTTTTTTTTCTTATTAGAAGGCCAACATGCTAGTTTTATTAATTATCAAAATAGAGTTACATTGTTTACCAGGAGATTAAGGGTCAACCCTTTGGCTTATCCTCCCAGAATGAGCTCCCTACTCAGCTTCTCTCAGAATCTTCAACCCCCATCCTTCTGACAATCCTAATTAGTTAGGGTCTGAACAACTATTGTAACACGAATGGGGAGATTCTGAAAGGAGCTGTGGATGGGGCCACTCTCCCAGAACCGACCAAAAAAGAAGTGGCCCTAAGAATTCACACTACTATAGATCCGAATAACACTGCCCGACCAAATAGTGTCATCACTTACGTGCAAGTGGCCCGTTAGTGCCGCGGGGTCATTATGACATCAACATCACAGACAAGCCCCTGACCGGTCAGTCATAGTACTTCAGCATAGACAACCGATCGGTCAATGATAGTAGTTCATCGCAGGTTGAATTTGCTCCTTTTTATTGATTGTCTTTATTTATGTTGGTACAAACAAGGCACCCAAATGAAATTGACAGAAACATAGGAGCGGAATGTGCGGTCATACATCATTCATTTGCACAAGTTGCTTTTCATAAAACAATAACACATATACATCTACACACTTAACAACCAACATACATATGAAACATAGATACTTCTACCATGTTACAAAGAGTAATCTATCCATCAAGCCACTTAACAAACTAGACAAAGGACATACATATAAATCTAAATATTTCTAAACTACTCACATTCTCGAGTAGTCTATTTGTCACACCTCTTAAGAAACTAAGAGGCACTCAATAGGGAGGAGATGGTGATAATTATATCACCAATCTATGTCCCACTTTCAGATCCAGTGACCAGTGGAGCAAGTACTGATGAAACCTGTTGGCGCTTACACAAATAGGTAAATTTGTAGCACCACTCGTCTTCTTTTTTGTGTAGTGCAACTAAAATATAACTCTACATAAAAAAAATGGCCAGACAATCAAAATAAGATATCATTTGATCTATTTATGAAATTGAATGCAAGCAAACTTTAAGAATTAAGCAATTAGTTAACCTTATACTTTAGTGTTTAGAACAAACAACACTCTCGAAATTTAACCATAGTACATTCAACTTTTTCAGAGTATCGCCCTTTCAACTACTTGCGAAAAAGATAAATAGTTTTTTTGTGTAGTGCAACTAAAATGTATGTCTGTTTCAAAAGAAAAAGATAGTTTTATGTAGGTTTCAACTTATATAGTGATGCATAAAAGACATAACTACTATGTTGAAGAATATATAAATCCCAGATAAAATAAATAACCTTATTCTCCACATCAAAGGCATAATTGCTTTCACTAGCATGAGTTAAAGGATTTAAGTTATCCTTCAACACATAGTAGTCAAAGCAAGCCATGCCTTATTTATGTGTAAAGGTATAATGTTAGAAGACATGTCGCATAGAAAATCCTAAAAGTGCTACGAGGAGCAATCGAGGACATGACGGGTATACAACATGACAGCGCGAGAGACCCGGCGTCTAACAACATGGGAGGGTGGATGAAACCAAAGACGTCGGACGGAGGCTATGCCGCCGCAATCGTTGATGCGACACATGTTAAGAGAGCGCCGTCCGGGATGGCGTGGCTGGGGCTGCAACTTTGCCGGGTTGCCACTTGGCTTTAGATAGGGCGTCGTTTGCACGGATCAACGACCAAAAATAGTGAAAACTACCAAGAGAGGGGGGCGGCGGCGGCAATGAGAGTTAGAGAATGGGGCACGAACAAGATATAAAATGCATACAACACAACTCTGACCGGCAAGAAAATGGAAGCGTCAGTTTTGTGACCATAACTCAGAAAGGTCAAAAATCCATTCACTTTGGCCATCGAAACACATGATCATTGACCGGTCAAATTCTGACCTGTGTGTGATAAACATCTTGTAGAGCCCAAAATACCTCGTCACTGACGCGCCACAGGAGACCTGCCTATGATAATGCTCATCACTGATGAGTAGTCACTGGTCGGTTAGTAATGATGGGTCAATGCTATTCCGATCCGTAGTAGTGTCACTGGGAGTGTCATAGCCCTAGTAAACAGTATCTTAGCTAGCTCGAGAGCTACTTTGTTAGCTACTCCAGAGTAGTGTTCATATACAATCTTAGAGAAATCCAATTGGCAGTCTTCAATTATCAGTGCTGATTGTGTTTTTGCGTATCCGCCCGTTTGCATTGCTTCTATAGACCGGGAACAATCTGACTGAATGATAATGCGGTTACACCCCTAGAACTATGCGATTCCCAAGTCTTCGCAAAGAGCATAAGCTTCAACATTGACATGTCCTCCATATGTGACAATCACTTGTATGCAACACCAACACACTTTCCACTCTCATTCCGGATGATCACACCCACTGCTCCCAATTCAAGGTCATCCACGAAGGTTGTGTCGATGTTCACCTTAACCCATCTATCCCTAGGAGACGTCCATCCATCTGGTCGCGCTCTACCAATTTTGCGCATGCCCTCATATTTTTTGGTGCCAATTCTCTAGGGGACACTGCTGCTGGGCTAGGGGTTTGAACTCGTTCTCATCGTAGTTTCTTGTGTTATAAAAATGCTTTATTGACAACTCAAAACACGATTTATTGATAAGTGATACATAAGGGATTATTGCCCAAGATCTAAGGAATGATATTGTAGAGAGCGAATCATCGACCTGTTGTAGTAAGTTGGCCCGTCAATTGATACAAACATTACTTTGTTTTATTTCTTTCATTTTCCTTTCTTTTTTACTTTTGAACATTCCTTTTCTTCAACTTTTAAAAGTATCCATT